TATCACGTTCGAGGCGAAAAAAAATCCTTCGTATTTTCGACTCGCTCGCTTCACTCGAATTTTCATTCATCTTCGCCCACTATTGAAATCCACTTTTAAGATAATTTTTCATTATAATTCGTAACGAATAAAAAAAAAAAAAATTCTTCGTATTTTAAACACCAAACACCAAACACACTCGTTTGAAGCTGCAGTGATTCGTTCGCCATTTCTCGTTCAATCTTCGAAACGATCGTGCTGGCTTCGTCCTTGAATAGTCTTCGCATGGTGGCTCGTAACTCGCGAACAGTCGAAGACCTCTCGATAGACAGACAGACAGACAGACAGAAATCGATGCTGGTCGGCGACGTTAAACCCTGGTGACGGCGATCCCCGGTCTCCCGGGGCCGAATGCCTACCTGGACGGCCTCCACGTTTGGTTTCTGTACCGGCAGAGCAACACCTTCTTGAACGCCTGGCGGAACACCTTGTTGAAGATGGTGTAGAATATCGGGTTGACCATCGAGCTGGCGTAGCCGAGCCAGGTGGCCAGGTCGAAGATCTTATGGTCGATCTGTCTCTCGCAGTTAGGGCAAACGGCTGGTATTAGGTTCAGGACGAAGAACGGCGCCCAGAGGACGACGAACGTGAAGAAAACCACGCCGAGCACCTTGGTCGCTTTCTGCTCGAGCCGGATGATCCTCCCGTGGCGCGAGCTGTTCCGCGAGACCACGCTGCTCGTTCTCGAGTAGTGGCTACGCACCGGGCCACCCTGTGACGAGTACCTGTGAGGGCACGGCGAGGACGAATTGCTGCTCTGCTTCGAGCTGATGCTCGCCGCCCCGTTGTGGGCGCGCATCGTTGCCGCGCGACGAATCGGGGCCCCTCTCGACGTTAACAGCGAGGTTCTCGTGTTCCCTGATTCAAACGAGCAATTTTTGAGTCATTATTTCTTTCCATTTTTCTCTCTATTTTGCGTCCTGTGTCTAGTATTTAGGGCTAGTTGGAATTATAATATCTGTGGGATTTATCTAACAGAGTAATAATATTATATAATTATATTATATATAATGAGAATATTTATAATGATCCTGTTGTAATATGATGAACGTGATTAAATGTACAAGTATATATGCGATATTTTTATTTATTAATAAAATATAGAAAGTGGAAATATTAGAGAATATTGTATAATATAATAGACTATATTATATCTGGAATTTATTTGATGGACTAACACGTACATGATATACGTGTGTTGTAATATTATATAATATTATTGATACCAATATATTTATAATATATATAATATAATAATATAATATTTTTGTTTGTCAGTTTAATGTTTTAGGAAATTCAAATGGCGAGAGAATGGTCATAACATAATTCGTGAAAAATATTTTATAATATAATACGAGACACAGTGGCTGACGAAAGTGAATTCGAGCAACTCTCATAGAACTTCTCGACTGAAATTTATTTCGCTTTCGGTACTCGAAGCTCATTCAAATTAAATTTCCAAATGGTGTATTTTCACAATTGATTACCTACGTATTTAACTTGGTAATTATTATAATTGAGGCGCAGTCTGTGCTTAAACTGACTACTCTTAGTTAATCTCCGTAGCTGTTTTGCCGTTCTGCAATATTAAACTCGTCTGACGGTATATATTTATTTAATAACCGCTTCTTCAAAGTGACGATTAATCGGGTTACTGAATGCAACGCGTGAAACTCTCTATATTTGCAGGAGCTACGTGAAATAAAATGTTCTGAATTATTATATAATTTTCTTTCGTGAAGTTGTAACAGTTTATTATTGCAAATTCCAGAAGTTCAAAAAAAAAAAAAAAAAAAA